AGTTTATTTTTAGTTTCTTAGGGTTTTGATTTTTAAGTTAGGACATTTTTATTTTATTTTCTTCCTTGATTTCAATTATTAGAAGCTTCTGAATCTTTTATTACAGCAATAAAAATGCAAAATTCATATAAAATATATTTATGTGTGTATGTAGATTTATCTATCTACTACACACACACACACACACAAAATCTACAGTCCTGTCTTAGGCACAAAACCAGTTAGGTAACTTTAATGCCTATCACTGTCACCAAATCTCAAAAAGAAGGCAGTGGCAAACACTTCCAAATGTTGCCAGAAGGTAAGATTGCTTCAACTTATCTATACAGTCATCAAGAATCAAGCTTGACTTGAAGATATAGCTATATCTAGATAAAGATAGAATTATTTCACTATTAATTGTCATACTTCTATTTGTGACAGATTCACTTAAGTGATTTTTAGCCTTGTAAAGTGTGTCCTGGTAATAGAAATCCTGATTTAAGTAATCAAGAATTGATCTTGCCATTAGGGCCTATTCAGAAGAACTCTATGACTTAAATTACCAATACAAAAAATTACAACTTCAGTTATCTATTAACACATCAATATTTGCCATGATCACTTGATTATACCATATTCTTCTTACACTCTTTACTGAGCAAGTTGCTCAGCTAGCAAATTTAATATCATTTGTTTGCAAGCATGCCTTGCAGAAACTAGCCATTATGAAAAGATTAATTGCTGTGATCCACCATAAATCCCACTAGTATTGAAAACTACAATGCATTCCTTTTATGATACTGGAAAGATTCTTACTGAAAGGAAATTAAGAGTAATAATAAGTATTCTGGAAGTATTTTGAATTATCTAATTTTAAATTCAGTAATTATGGTGTAAATGGGAATGATTTGTTAAGTTGTTTATTCATGTAACATTTTATATATATATTGCAATGCTGAATTTCAAAGTGATTCAAAAAATTGCCAAAGATAAGCACAACAAACTAAATACATAAAAACAAATAGAAAGCACCAACTGAAATCTGGTGTCCATAAGCAATAGTGACAACCCTTACAGATCCAGAGCTTGATAGAATAGCTCCATTTTAATGGCCTTCTAAATACATACAAAGAGAGCACTAAATGAACCATACATATAGAAGTTGTTAAACCATTTTTTTACATGACAAATAAATGGGATGAGCCAGTCCTCTTGAATAAGATGATCTTTAAGATACCCAGGTGCCAAGCCAAAAAGATTGGTTCAGTCGGGTAGAAACTGGTCCCCAATCTTTCCAGCTCCATAGACCTGGAGCAAACAACGGTGGCAGGGGGGATGGTTTCATGCACACAGCCTAATCCCATACATGCCCAAATGGAGCTTTACATGCTCACCCGGCACTTGTGCAGCCCAGTATCCAATGGGTGAACATGTGGTAGCAGTCTGTGGACTGCGAGATGGGGATCCCTGAGTTAGAATGTTACTTTAAATTGTATTTGGAAATGTATTGGCACTGAGTGCATTACCTGTAAAATTAATGTTACATGTTACATGATTGTAATTGTTTTGACTGCCAGAAAGAGGGCTACTGCAATTAGTACCAAATGAAGTTTCTGTTTTTGAAATTGAGTCTTGAAAAAAATACCTATATAACATACATTGCAGTTTGTTCTTAAAGAGATTAAAAGATTAAAAGCTAGTGTAAACACACAAACACAAATATTTTGATTAAAGTTTCTCAGGTCCTCATTGTCTACTGACATGCTAGAACTAATTCTTGAAGCCCACAAAACTAGCCTATCTTGCAGCAAAATGGATAGCACATCAACAGAAACTCCAACTCTGTAAAGCTTAACTTCAAATACAGGCAGTCTGTCATCTGTAGCTTATGTTCCCTGGTTACCGCCAAAGTGTCCATGATATCATTGCTACCCTTACTTCCCTGTCCTGGAATCATGGCTCAGAACACCTTAAAACCTGACAGAACATATTTCATACAGAATAATTTTATTTTCCTAACAAAGTTTCAACACAAGTCCATTTGTTTATCCAGAACTAAGTTATGGATGTTCTTTTCATAAATAGATCTGGGATAACCAATGGCAGTCTGAGTCCAAGATAATCCATCTCCATGACCGTTGACCAAGAAAAGGAAACCAGCACAAATTGCTGTTTTTTTTTTCCTCTTTAAATGGCCAATCACTGCCTCTTCCTTTTGGAAACTAGACATCATTGGGTAGGGATGGGAATTTAAGAAATGTTATGTATTATCACGTACGTTGTTGTTTTCCAGTGGTTCCTACATGGTTCTATTACTTTTAGCATATTATCCAAATATGTTATTAATAAAAAATGATAATTTAGTCAAAATATAGGTGGAGCATATGGTTTCCTATAAAGTATATTCTTTGAAGATAAAATAATTGAATCTACTTCTACTTCTTTATTCTTTCATATTTTTACTGCTTTCTCCCTTTGCAATAAAACTACATCTTACTTAACAGTCTGCAGGTGATAACTGAAATCTCATGAAGATTCCCCAGTGAGGAGTGTCTGAACTGTAAAATAATTTCCAAAACTTGCGATTTTCAAAAGCTCATTAGAGTTTTCCTGAATTGCAGGTTGTCCTTGACTTTCAACCACAATCGAGCCCAAATATTGATTGCTAAGCAAGGCAGTGGTTAAGTGGTTTTGCACCATTTTATGACCTTTTGCCACAGTTATTAAGCAAATCACTGCAATTGTTAAATAAATCATTAAGTGAATCTGGCTTCTTCTGTTGACTTTGTTTATCAGAAGTTATCTAGTAAGGTTACAAATGATGATCACATGACACTGGGACAGTGCAACTGTCATGAATCTCAGCACAAGTGGATGAGGCTAGATTTTGAATGGGAAGTCAACGATACAAGGACATCCAGCAGTTGCAGGATAAGTTAAAATCTGTGTATAGAGTTCACATAGACAAACTAGCGTAAAAACAAATCTTACTCATCCGTTTTAATTCCAGGTGATGCTGAAAACAATGTTACATGTGTAATTTTCCCTGATTTTTTTTCCTATATTGAAAATCATACCCTTATCTGTTACCTCCAATTCATGACATTTCAGATTTATTTTACTCCTTTAGTATGAGTTATTTCTTTTTGAATTACAAATGCAATTTTAATTTGGTAAATAATACCAATGGGAGATTTTGGATATTTCTTTTTCCTTTTGAAGAATAGCCCTAACATGTGGTTTTAAAAAGAATGATGGTCAAGTCCCCAAACAGAATTATGTAGCATAGAGTTGCAATCCTGCATGGCCATTTTGATGTTGGAATACCAAAGTATTGCTTTTCTCTCCTATTAAATGGTCTCTTATTTGTTCCTAACTTCCCCTGTTTAACAGCAGACAAACCCAGGGAGCACTGAATGAATCGGATGATCCTGAGACAGGCTGTGTAACTGATAACAAACCAACTTCTCGTCACTTCTATCCTGTCGCCTTGCTGCTTGTCAGCTCTCACTTGCTGGTTGTCTGGCTTATTTTAAGTCTTGCTTTACTATTAGCAAAATATCAGTAAAGTTCACTTCTGTTTGTTGCTTTTTTAAGGAACAAGAACACTTTAAAATTACACATTGTACTATACTGTACATTCTTGGACCCTCAGATTAGTTCTTAAGAAGCCAATGTCTTGAACTGCATACATTCTCTTTTTCTTCCCAGGAATCAAGAAAGCATATTATGCTCAACTGATTTAATCTACCGCCTAGCTCTAGCAAATTTTTTCACATTTCATTAATTATAAGACAGCCAATGTACATAAGGGTTTCTTGATCAGATTTGATCTAATCATAAAATATGATTCACCCCCTTCTAATCAAATTCCTATTTAGGGGATTATCAGCACTTTATTTTAATTCAGGACAAATTTGCAGGAATAGTTATTTTTCCCAGCATAATATTTGTACTCAGGTGTGAAAATTGCCAAATTCTACTTTACTAGATAGAATCATTCCCTTTAACAATGCTATCTTTGCAGTTTTCATGCCAGGAGTCACATAAAACAATTGGTTCCTTGTATGAAAATGTAATGATAAAACTACCAACATGATTATATATTTTTTCTGTGGTGATTGATCAAAAGATGTAAGAAGATAGAGGAAAGTATTTACACACTGACATTTAGAATTAAGTTGAGTGTTCTGGGCAAAGTCAAAAGATTAATTTTCAGTGTGCTATTTTCATTATTACTTGCCAGTAGAGTCCTTCTGTTTTAACAAATAATTTTAGTATTTCTTTTAATTATTTGTTGCATAATTAACTTTTTTTTGTAAAGCCATTTATGGCATACAATAACTTTCATTGTGTAACATAATTAACCTGTTTGTAATTGTTGTTTTTGCTGCCTTTCCTTTACAAACTTTGTCTATATTGTTTTAAACGAAGTTTTCTTTGCATTTTGATGCACTCTGTTGGCTCTTGTGAATTTTGTACTATGTATGAATCAGCATTCCTTTCTTTGTAGAACAGAAAGTTGATTTGGGCTCCAAGAAAGCCATTTTTTTCTTTCATCATAAAGTTAAAAATGAGACAAAGGTGGACATTTCCTTTGCAAATTTATAGGGCCAGATTTAATAAAAAAATGCCTTACTCATGGAACCTGCACACTTACAGCTAAATGTAAACTTTAACATGTATGAATGAGCAAAGGGAAACCAATCTGAAAAAAGAAATTTTAAAGTAAATATATTTCTAATGCTAGAGTAAAATATATCTATAATATCTAATCAAGCCACAGTGAGAAGAAATATATTTCAAAATCCCATAACCTACTTTTGAGGGCAATAACTCTGTTGGCCTGGCCTTGGATCTAATTCTGTAAGATGTATCATCACTTGTGGAAAATATATTGTAGATTTATCTTTGTTATTTTTACTTCAATTGTTGCATAAACTCTGCTATGTACAAAATAAAACATATTTATTTATTATTTGTTTCACGAAGTTGTCTTTTCCCCCCCTCTGTACTAGACAAGGATGCCGCATAGAAAATGTCCTGAAGAATATCAAATGCAGAAAGTATGCTTTCAACATGATTCAGCTGATGGCTTTCCCCAAATACTACCGACCACCAGAGGGAACATATGGAAAAGCTGACACCTAATCTCTTAGACAAAAATACACTTTCAAAAGTTTGTAAGATTACACAACTCCATTCATTAGTTAACACGCATTGCTTTGTGTGTTTTATAGATTGGAAGTATGCCTTTAAGCAAACATACCTAGGACTTGTTTTATCAAACTGTACCATCAGTCAAAAGAAACTTCAGTATATATGGTAAAGGAACATCCAGGCATTGAGCTGTCTGTTTAATAAATACAAAATTTTCATAAAATGCAATGTATATCATAGGTTCACTAGAGTTAAAGGTTGATCCTCAGTCCAATAGAAAGGTAAATCATAAGTCTGGACTTAAAATCTAGCTCTTGATATTGCTTGCTGGAAGTAAGAGCAAAGTCAAGTTGCTACTTCGCTTTATATATAAAATTCATAATAGAATTTAAAGAAAAACAATCTTTTATTACTTTACCTTATTAAATATGTGAAGATATTGTCACATTTTCTGGGTTATTTTTGCAGTTCCATCTATATTTACTTCCAGCTTCTTCTTTTAAGTTCATATGTTCTACCAAAAGTGGAAGCTTTCATTTATGTTGGTGGCATGTTGTCATCCCCTGGAAGCAGAACTTGTGTTTAAGTAAAAGAGCATTAAGGACATAACAAGGGTGACCACTAGAAACTATTGTTTGAAAATACTGAAAGCATAAAGAGAAATACTGTAAAGAGCCTTTATTGGTAGCTTAAAAGAATGTTTACATCTGAATAAAAGTTAAAGGATTTCAGTAATTTTGAAACTGTTAGAATTAAATACTGATCAGAATGAAGGATTAATTTGTTGATTTTTTGATTAGTCTATTGTCATTCATGCAAGATTAATTTTTATTTTTACATGTTAAAAGGTAATATTTATTTAGAAATTAATTTGTGAATGTTAATACAGAATTGGAAAAAGTGCCTTTTGTGTAAAATACAAGGTTAGTGTAAGTTTTACATTAGACTCATAGCTGCTGCAAATGAAATCATTTATACAAATGGTGCTCTTTAAGAAATTTAGAATGATTTCATGTTCATTATGAAACAGTGACATCTGGCAATAGAAAATTTGGCAAGGAAATTGAAGTATATCCAGTTCATTTAGAATGACTTTGTCCAGCCAAAAATTCTATTATGTACAAGCAGCTAAATGATACTTCTTGGGATTGTCCAACTGTTGTACAAAATGAAAATTACTAATTTTTGTAGGAATAATAACCCAAAATTCAATCAAAAGTTGTGAAGTATCAAATTCCAGGCTGATTTCCTTCTTTTTTATCTCTTTTTTAACCACAGAGATAAAATCTCTATGTATAGTATGTCAGAACCCTATTTTTAAGCTATATTTAAAAATGCTTTAGGAGCCTGTGAATCCCTACCTTTGCAGGAAGCTTGCATGATGCTTTAGGAATCAAAATTGTTTTGAGATATAAGAAATTGGCTCCTCATTCTTTATAGTGCCAAAAGTATAGTATTAAAATGCCATCAGGCACCTCATTCTGGATAATACTGAGAGAACAGTGAAGTAAGTTTCCTATTCTTTGCTTGCTTTAAATGGGAATAAATAATTGAGGGCATAGTCAGTTTTTTTATTAAGGCAGTACATTCCTGAAACACAGATCCTGCAGCAAAAGCATGTATACAGATGACACTTGAATACGAGGTATCAGTAAACATTTGCATATAATGTAATGATTTTGGAAGAACTCATAAATGAAAAAATTGGCATTATCTATCCCATCAGAATTGTAGTAATATAGCAATACATATAATAATAACAAAATGCATTTCTTGCTCAAATAAACAATTTGGGGATATGTTTCTTTCATAAAAATGTGAACAGTGTCATCTTCCAAGTACTGTAATCTTTCTATACACGTAGGCTGAAGGGAGCAAAGGCTATTCAGGATTGCCACTGTTTAATACCTCTGCTGGGCAGGTCCTGAAGAACTAACCACTGGGATGTGGCTTTTCCCACTTCAGATTTATAGCACTGAAACAATGCACTAAATACTCCAACAGTTTTTCTTAAGATCTTTATATACAACTCATTTTCAAGCAATTGCTACTATAAGTGATGTTTCAAGTCTCTTACTTAAGAAAGTATCTTATTTAAAGAAAGATGACAACTTAACTTGTAGAAAGATAAAATATTTTAAGAATTTATTCTCTAGTCCCAGGTTTTATGGCAGATGAGAAAAAATTCTATCATAGGTGGGATTAGCTGATATACAAAACTATCAGTATAATGCAGTTTAAATTATAGTCCCATGAAAAATGTTAACTGAATTAGTACATATAATTGGCATATTTTATATACATATTTTATATATGTAATGTATATACATACACATGTAGCATTTATCCAAATACTCAGAGATTAATACAAAACAGATATAAAAAGTTAATATGGTGACCATATCTAAAACTTTCCCCTTTGTATGTGTACGCACAAGAGAGATAGGGCATCAGTTGTATGATAGCAGCTGCTGTCTTGATCTTTTTCTTTTCACCCACTTCTGCAAACATCCCTGACAATAATCTCTATTTTTAATACATTTTAAATGGTAGTACAACACACCAGTCTAGGCTCATTGTTTTAGAGCATTACACTGTTTAGAAGAATCCTTTTTCCTCTCTTTACTTTGTGGCATTTTCTTTCTTATTTTTGGAGCCATATGAGGTGCCAGTCATTTTCTGATGCCAAATCCCCCCCCCCAAAAAAAACCATATTAGGTCTTTTTTGGGAGCAATCATTGACCATGTAAAATTTTTAAAAGAGAATTAATTATAACCATTGAAAAATAAAATATAAGCTGCGATGTATGATTCAGTGTCATAGGAAAAGGATTATTTATAACTGTAATCCCACCTAAATTCCAAGTCTCCACAGGTACAATTATATTTGTATGTACTGCATCAAAACTGTTTTTGAAAGTGGATTTTCAAAAGCAGTTTGTGTTATCAGATAGCAAGAGAAGTATGTGAGAAATAGAGAAATGTTTTCTCAGAGCAAAAGTTTAAACAAAATTTATTAGCACATTAATAACCTTCAAGCATGGTCAGAAACTTTATTTGACTATGGTTTAGTATATAGTTTCAAAATTATTACTATTGCATATGTGCTGTTCACGTGAAGAAATGTGAAGCAGCAATGATTAATTTTGCCGTTAAAACATTCATCATTTTTATTAAGTATGTGGAAATGTTTAAATTGTGGAACAACCTGGAAATATTTTTGGAAGCCTGCTTGGTTTTTATTAAAATGGGCCATAGTTTATAAATATTTTGCTTTTATGCATGTCATCTGGTTTTTTTTAAATCATTTTGCCTATTATTTTAGAAACTGTAAGAATTCATGTGTGTAAGCCATATCCATTGTACATTACGTGTGCATGTATTTTTATTTAAATAAAACTCATATTTTCATATTATTGCCTGAGTTTGAATTGTTTCCACTGCCATAAAACAAGCATCATAATGTAAGTGCTTAAAAAGAAATGTGACAATTAAAGCAATATATATGTATATAATTTATTTACCTTACTGAAGTAATTTAGATAACCAACCGTACAACAGTGACACTAGGTGGCATACAATGATTAAAACCAACAATAAATCACAGCACCCAAGGTAAATAATACATCCCAGTCATAAAACCATAACAACACCAGAGCTTGCCAAACCTTTTGGCCAAAACGCACGCAGAAACCTTACAAAAAGCTAACCGGGTCATTGCCATTCAGATTTCTGATAGGATGCTATTCCACAAGGCAAGCACTATCACAGAGAAGATATGGCTCCTGAGTCCAATAAGATGGCATTGTTTAATAAAGGGGACTGGAACATGCTGTTGTTTCTACATCTGGTAGTGTGAGCAGAAATAAAGGCAGCAAGTCAGTACTCCAAAAAGTCTGGCCTTAAGGGTTTATAGATTCAACCAGCAGCACCTTAAATTGCTCCCAGAAGTTCTTAGGAGCCACTGCAGCTCAAAGAGCAATGATATTGTGTAAGCGTAGTGAGAGATGCCAAAAAATTCCTACACTCCATTCTGGACTAGATGCAGCTTCCAAATGCTCTTCAAGAACAGCCCCATGTGGAGTATGTTACAGTAATCCAAATAGGTGATTGCATGAATCATTCAGAAATGGGCACAGCTAGTGCATAACCTGAACCTGAGCAAAGGATTGTAGTGCTTTAATATGTCAATGGAAGCTGCTTTGAGAACTGTAAGAGTATAGCAAGAGAGATAAGTATATATTGCTTTTTTGCTGTTTCAGCATTCCCCAGTGATAATGGTATGTCAGCAGACCAATGTGTTTATACACTGCCCAGAGTCACTCAGTGAGTGAGCTTGACAGTTTCTAAATTATTTGTGTGTGTGTGTGTGAAAGAAAGAGAAAGAGACTGTCACCATAGTTGTGAATTACACACATTTAGGAAACCACAAACTTCAAACAGTCTTCAAAATAGATTTTATATTGTTGGAGATTTTATATATTTATAAGATCTATATAGCTCTTCACCCAGGCCATAGTGAAAGACAATGAGACTCTTCACTTCATTCCATCAGTTCTTTCACACTTGCCATATTTTTATTGATTTTATTGTGATTTCTTTGTTTGATCTTTGTGAATCAGTGTCATGGAGAGTAAGGTGGCATACAAGTTTAATCAATTATTAATATTAAAGCTCATAAAGGCAGAGCTCACTGTTTTATGTGTATTTCTTAGCCATTCTTGCAATTGCTATGACAAAAGGAAAACTCTTTCAAAAACTGTTGAGCTTCTTCTCAGTCTTTCTGCTCTTGGGAGTTTTTCTTATATATTTTTTTTCTTGTTATACAAACAATTTGTAAACATATATAAACATAATTCACTGACAAGACAAACGAAGCTAAAATGTGTCCTACCCACGATCCAAATTCTTCATTAGAAGCTGAGATATTGTAGTTAATAGTTACAGCAAAATACAGGCTTGTTCTGAAAGCATTCTGATTACAGTTCAAAAATAAGTAGCTATTTTATAGATAACTGGGTTTTGGTAGCCATATTCATTTAAATCAGTGGGAATTATCTGCAGGATCAGACTTAGACATCAACATTCAGGCATTTAGGGGGTGATGTACAATGCAGGCATAAATGATTCATAACAAGGGAGGCAAGAGCGCAAGTGATAAAACACACACCACAATGTTGGGATGCAAACACTGATGTCTATCTGCTGAATAGCATGGCTTCAAGATAAAAGCCTATTCCCACAGACCTTCATGCAAGCAATAATACACAGAATTCCAGCTCAGGTAAAAACCCAAACTTTCCATCTGCAGATATCCAAGTCTTTCATGGACTGTGTGGCCTGGGAATTATAAAATAGTGGGGATTAGGATGAAGAAATCTAGTGTACACTGCTTAGTCATTTTGAACTGGCCAGAGTTGGATTGCTTATAAGTTTAATAATAAATAAGTAAATAAAAATAATTTGCCTAGAAGAGAGAATTTTGCAACCAATGTTTATCTGCACAATTTGTTATTTAACATGTGTATGTGGAATCAAGAGTTGGTTAATATACAACGCTAATAATAAATAAAAATAAATTTGCTATTTAGCATACTCATGAGCAATCAACAATGCCACGTCTGAAGCGTACACATGCATTTGGTTAAAATAATAACTTCTATAAATCATGTTCCTGGAGGAACATTGTCCATGGGGTCGCGATGGGTCGGACACAACTTCGCAATTAACAACAACAAATAAATCATAACTTCCATTAATTTGTATATAGCCACATTTGGAAAGGACTGACAAATAAATATATTACAAATCTTTGAACAACAGGAAAAAAGCCATTTGATCAAATTCTGGGTTTTCTTAATAATTGTTATTTAGACTTAAAACTACAAAGATAAAAAGCTAACACAAAATAAGGAAAATATATATTAAAAAATAAAAGTCCAGAGAAAAAGAAAAAATGTAAAAAGAAAAGAAAAAAGATACACCAAGAAATTACTTCCCCGTTCCTCAAGGCAAGTAGAATTTCAATAAATAGAATGTCAAAGCAAGAACATTCTTTGACATAGAAATTCTCATCAATTTCTCTAATATTTCAACAAAAGATTTCTTCCCATATCTCATCTCTTCTCTATAAGCAAATCATTGTATCATCATCCAATCCTAGTAGTAAAAAACCATTAAGAATTATCAGAAATATCAGCATATATATTACCAGTTTGCTTTTAACTCTATAACATACTGAGAATTAAAGGAGAATCACCTGCTCTGAGGTTCTTGATATCTAAAAAGTTAAAAAGCAACTTCAATAAGTAATTAAGAAAGGATGTGGGTGAATCCATGTCTATTTGAGGGTTTCAAACTGCAACTTGGGCAAAGCTGATTTTTTACTGGCTCCAGGAGCAATAAAACCTCCAGAAACTGCTATTTTACAATTAAGAGCCTCTGTATGGAGGTATTTAGGTAATCCTAGGTCCTTATTCAGAGAGGTACCTCAAGGTGGTTTTACTAGCCCTTCATTCCACTGCAGTCTTTGGATCTATTGAAAGTGGAGCTGTCTTCAGTCTGCCATTGCTTGCCCCAAAATTTTCTGTGTGATCATGTTTTGGATGCACAGCAACATATATTCCCTGTTAAATTTTCCATGCTTTGGTCTGGAATCAAATTCTTTGGTAACTAACACATATATTCAGTTACCTGGTAAGATTGGAATATAGTTAGCTACCACTAGTTTAACGTGCAATGACAAAAAAGATATAGCACTCAGCAAGCCATCATCATTATTCCTTGAAATACCCAGGCTACTAATGTTCTGATATGTATCACTTGTGTAGTTGAGAGCTGCATCAATAGCATTAACTGTATCTATGTTTATAATGTGCAAGCCATTTCTCCTTCCACTGAGTACTGATGTATGGTGCTTGACAAGAAGATATGAAATATCTTCCCTTTAATATTCATAAAGTGCATGCGCCTATAAGAAGTATTGAGGGGAAAGCTAATGAAGTTAAACTTAGATCAGAGACTCTCCAGTGATGTTCCTTCCTTCCTTCTGTATCAGTTCTTCTATGCAGACACAGAAATACACAAAAGAAAAATAAAAGCTATTTCAAACTATTGTTCAAAATTACATTCAAAATTATTTTAATTTCTTGTGGCACATGATACTGTAAGAGCTAATGTTTTAGCTTCATGCAAAGTATGTCTGGTTTTTTAATCTGAATTCCAGCTGTAGTAATCATCTAAATAAAGAAAAAATACAGAGAGTGGTTTTAAAAAAGACACGAAACACCAATTTGCATTTATACATTCATGGGTATGTTAATGGACACCAACAGGGAGTAAAAACTGCCCCACTTTCTAGAAATCAACAGGGAAGCGCTCTATGTGCAGCAGAGTCTCACTTTGCATTAAACTGAAGTTATGTCAATTTTACCAGCATGTAGACCGGTACTGGGGCTCTTAAGCTGTCTGCTCTTAACTCTGTGGAATTTTGTCACTGTGCTCCTGAGGCTTATTTTTAACAGTTAATTTGTTTGGACACCATTAAATAGAACATTTCTTCTGAATTCTACAATAATAAGGGATTAAACTGTCTATCAAGCTCTTCAACAGCAAAGCCTAGACAATAATTTCAGGTCTCGGTGTAAATTAAACATTGACATCAGCAAAATGCACAGAGAACCACACCTTGGAATCGTTATAGTCAACTCTGCAATGCACCTCACTGATTTATTATGAAAAAGGAATCTCTAAATTGTCATTATTTCAGAATTCTTCAGTTTCTATGAAAAAACTATTTTCCTCCAGAATTTGAGGGGCAAAAAATTGGTTTTGTTCTATCTTTTGGTGTTTGCTTTTCTGTTTTAAGAATCCAGTCTTGATAATACAGAGTTATCCGAATCAGTCCTGAAAGCAATTCTTTAACAAATATAGATTTCTACTTTTAGATAAATAAGCATTGGCAAATTTTTGACAGAATAGTTATTTAAATTATACTTTATCTGAGTAAAAATAAAGAAAAGCATTTTTCTCAGTGCCTGAAAAAAATCATTTTTTTTTCATTTCTATTCTAGATTGTATAATTTAGGTTTGAGGATTTTAAATGCCTCTAAATTCATTGAACAACATTCATGTTCTGGGTGGGGCCCAGCTAGGCAAACCCCAGGCGTGACCCACAGAGCCTCCTGCATATGAAGGAGCTGCACCCTCTCAATACTAAGAAGTGGCTTCTTACACAACCTCTTGACCTGTCTCCAGCATCCCTCCCAAAAAGGTTTAATTAAGGTCTGTTGATTGAGGCCAAGTAAGGTACATTGGAAGAGGCTATCTAAATTCCTTCTTTCCTTCCTTTTTTCCATTCGAGCATCAAAATTCCTCTCTATTTAAAAAGTTATATTTTAAATTTCAAAATATTG